TTCAAACGATAGCATGTCCAGTATGTTTTCCAGAGAACTCCAGCTACATTCCACTCGTCGCCATCTTCCAACGCAACGCAACGGTACTTTTCCTTTCTCTTTCTGACTAGTCCTCCTATTTTTAGAAATCTCCGCTAGGCAACCTGCCAGCCAGCCAGTCAAGAGTAGTCACTGCTGACCTACAAGCCTTATCGAGCGTGACCTTAGTTTGGGTGTGTTTCCTCTCAGGTTCGTCTAGTGCTGTTTCTTGTAACTACGGATTCTAGTTCCCGCATATCGGCCGTTGCTATGCCAAGGTCAACAAACTATAGCCATAATTAGATCGGTGTACTGCATACTGCACTCACACAGCATTCTCACACACAGCGCTTGTGACACCTCTCATTAATAAAATACAGATGCAAATATATCTGAATAAATCACTTATGTCACCAAAACCTCAGGTGTGACATACGCGTTATAATAAGGGGTCGACCATTTGAAATCATGGGGGCTGTCTGGAAGATTTGTAGAAACAAACATTGTTAGCTCAAAACAAAGTTGGGAACATTTAAGAAAAATGAAAATGTACAGACACAGCGAATAAAATGCACTGGTCATATCCTACCAGCCCCCCCAAATGATTTGAAAAGTTTAACCCTTAATGGTTTACATTATTACCAGGCTCAACAAGCTGGAAATGTTAACCCTTCAAATTGCATGCATGCTCAATGAGTATTCTAGTAACTCCATTGGACCTGGAGACCGCTAGTGACACGGTGGTCTTATCAATCCATGGTATGCAGGACGTCTAAGTGTCTTATTTCCTGTGAAGCATATTTCACCGTCTGTAAATACGGACATAGACCGAATCACCAAAAAACGCATCATTTCGCTAAAAATATGTTGTGCTGCCAGCAAGTCAATCGTGGATAAATCACATTGTCTCAATAGATCATTTTCCGTCCACTGCGAGAATCACGCGTTATGCGTGAAATCGAACGTAAAAACAGGACAAACAAAAGTCATAGCGTCCGAGTAGCGTCAAACATCGCGCGAGATTCGACAAACGCGAAAGTATTTTGGGGAACATTTCCATGTCAATAATGTGCTGTACACATTTGATGATGGGCAATTTCGATTAAGTGAGGATATTCGAATGCAATATTCCTCTGTCGAAGATCGGCCGGTCGATGTGCGCTACGAAATAAAGAAATTCGAGTTCAAAATCAAATCGTTCTATTTTTGCGGCAGACGTTCGACGCGCGTCTTTCATGCATCTCGCGAGATCTCGCAGTTGTACGGAAGATCACCTATTGATAACCCCTATGTCAGGTATATGGGGGTAATATAACCTTGGCTTTAAACATTGAAATCGTCAGTTATTGTTACTATGAGTTTCAGTTTATGTTATTTTGTGGTTTGAAGGAATTTAACGAACCAGAATTGTTATACATTTGTTAAAGCACAAATTAAAATTCCAGCCAACTAGAAACGCTCCGGCAAAATCACACACACGAGAAAAAAACGGAAGAGATTCCTCTAAACAATTTGAAATATTTAGCTCAACTTCCATTTTTTGGTTATGGAATCGAAATATTAAAAATATCACTCAAAGGCAAAGGCATCTGTAATACAAGTTCGAAATGAATAATGTTAAAGCGCGGTGGTCGTCGCGCAGCGCGTGTTCGAATTTCATGTAAATAAACAATGTATTTTACACGCGTTGTATACATCGCTATATACTAGTAAGTGTTAAAGCAGCGTATAAATAAATAAATAAACAAATAAACAAATAAACAAACAAATAAATAAACAAATAAACAAATAAATAAAGAAAGAAAGAAAAAGTATGTTTACAAACAGATAACGAAGGAAAGTTTATTTACCGCCACTGTTAACTGACATTGATTGGCAAGAGTTGTAGACCAATTATATAGCCAGAAAGGGGGTTCAATGAACATGTTACAGCCGTGCGATTGTGTACACATTATACAGACAGGCTGGCGATCGTATTACCATATCGTAATAAGTTACATATATGCAAATATTTGTATAAAGGCTATAATATATAATACATGTTTGAAATAATAAGTTTGTCCGTATGTGTATCTTTTTAAGTTGGATTTTATCTACTTCGCTATGACTGTGTCGACTTCACTAAAAATAAAACTATTCAAATGTGGACGTGCGGAGACGATGTTCGATTCGACTTCAACTGCGTTACTCGGACGCTGGTTTTGTTGAGAAGCCTACGGAAATTTATACCATGTAAACAGCGCGGGGGAATTTGCAGCTTGTTTGCATTTACATATTTGCGTGTCTAAAGCCATAGACCCTCCAGTAGACTGGAGGGTCTATGCTAAAGCCCAGCATTCCATGAATGATTCATTAAATTACGTAACGCGTTTGATTTCATTTGTAAACAATATGGGTATGGTTATTAACACATTACGTTACGACAACGAACGCACTCCAGGCTTATTTTGAGTTTATAAAAGCATAGACTACAATATTTAAGACAATATTTTGTCTATTTTACGTCTCAAGTACGGACATTAATCATTCGACTCAGCCCCCCTCTGACTAATAACACCGCACATCACGCTTGATGCAAACACATTGCTAATGTCAGTCGGTGTCAACTACTCTTCACGCGAAGGCGTCTATTACTTAATTAATGTCATTTTCACTGTGAGTACGAGTTACAGGACGCAAACATTATACGGGTAAAGGACACTAGGGATTTCTCACATTAAAGGTGAATTGGCTAGACAGGTACAGATTATATTTTAAGAACACGTTACATGATAGTAATAATTTATATGCTATGTCTACATAAGTGTATTTTATGCGATATGGGAACGTTTTATTATTATCAGTCATATTAACATTTATTATTTTATCATAATACATTTAAAATAATCACGGTGTCACTTCGTTGTCAAATAATAGAATGAATTATATACGCAAGAACAATGTCCGACAGTCGACTAAAATATATCAGTTATTCTATTATAAAAAAGTAATAATTAATAAGTTGAAATAAATAAAATGTTTCTTATTTACATTCTCTCCAGTAAATCCAGCTTGGGATGTTTTCAAGTAATAAATTAGTTGCAGGAATGGGGAGACCCACGCATAGAATGGGGCTGGGAAAGCTCGTATGCGAACGGTTGGAAGGTATGTGTCTGACAATGGAACTAAACAATTGTATAGCTCCATAGTGTGCTCACAGTCCCTCTAATATACTGTAGAACACGTTGAAATAGCTGCGTGCAATTTTAGCAGATTTCACTCTTGGCATGTCAAAAGATCTATGTCGGATAAAAAACTTATTTCCTTTAGTTTGGGGGTGGGGGATTTTGACCTCAAAAAGTTTCCATCCTACAAAAACGATTTTATTTTTTAATGAAGTCAAAAAAATCTTGGAGTATTTGTAGTTCGTTTTTTTTTTCTATCCAATCATGGACAGAAATAACCGAAAAGGGAATAAAACAGAAAAATGGTTTGGTTCGAGTGTAAATCTGTGCGTCAAATGAGGTGCATTTGTAAAATCTTTTTACACCCACCCGACAGCCAACTGCTATGCAATACTACTGTCCGATTATCAATTTGTATTTAATGGTGAATGTAGTCTGACGCCATGACCAATATTTATCAATTAAGTTTCAGTGGGGGGTAGGGGGTTTGGAAAAAAAACTAAAGGAATTAAGTTTTTTTATCCGACATCGATCTTTTGACGTCGTCCCTAACAGAATCTTAATTTAGCTAAAGTTTCGACTACTAGTATCTCTCTGTGAGAATATACTTTCTGTTAAATTAGCTACATCTTGAATTAGCGAAATCACAGATTAGCTAATAGAGCTAAAATAACATGCTAGCTAAAAAGAAATTTTTTCAGTAGATAGAGGGACCGTGGTTTTGGCCAAGACCGTATGTCCGGTACTGACCGGAAGTACAGGTAGACACTGGCTTAGTTAACACGACGACTCATAGTTATACTATTACTGTGTCCTGAACTTACTCTTGGGAAATCATGGCCATGTCCAATATAAAGAATAGGAGTACAACATCCGGGGTACAGCAATTATTTGTGACATCCGTCGACCTTTGCTGAATGGAATGCATTTCGAATCGATGAACCATCGTAATCCCATTAAAACCATGTATACCTGTTTCTAAGGCCAATCCCTGATTTAGGACCATTCAATATTTAAACAATAATCTCGACGAAACATTGCTGGCGTTGCAACTTTAACAGTTTAATGCTGGTATTTCTTCTCTATTTCAAACTCTACTGGGTGTTAATAATATAGCGTTACTTTACCCCCGGTGTAATACGTGACAGTCAATTGAGTCATCGCTTAGCTATGGACAATCCCTACTTCCGCAGTGTGATTGAGGTCACGTGATAAGGTTCCAGTCAAAAACTAAACAAAATATACAATGGGAATTATAAAAGCCAGTTATGAGTACAAGTTATAGTTTGGATTTTTTTTAGTATGGAGTGTTGAAGGTCTATAAAACGCATCATCACCACGGGGTCACTAGCCTGATAGGCATGTGTCCGGGTTTATATATCTCCTGGTACTAAAGCTATATACATTTCATCTCTTCTGGGGATTAAAACAATAGTAGGACACGGGGAAAACAACGATTCCCCATGAGTCGTGTTGCAAGTGAATAAAACAACAAAATACACAATATACCACAGTGTCGAGGGACAGTGACCATAAATATGCCTTTAGTGATTGCGTGATGAATACAAACCCGGGGGATATTTATAAGTATAGTTCGGTTTGTGAATGCGTTCCCAGTTTACATGATATCTGCAGTCATACATAGGGCTTTATAGTTGGTGAGGGGAACATGAGAATCCCCTCAAAGCACGTCGGGTGGGATTTAATGCGGATGTTTGACGCGTTTTGTATTTCACCCCAGAAAGTACGGATCACGCCAAGGTCACCTGACTTAACCGTAGTTGAATCCAGCGTGATAATAATGATCTGCGAACTCACCTGCTTTCCCCTTCCCGTGCGTATGTCCGGCCACTTGATTGGTTAGAGGTTCGCATCCTTCGGGTAACGGAGGGGTGTGCGATCGAGGTGGGTTCCGCACCACACCCTCAGCTTCGTAACTGCCCATGTCAGCCATGTTCATTTTTCCATACATACGCTGTTATGCTACGTCGGCGACAGGTCAGCTGTTGAAGGCAACCCACTAGCTACACATGTACTCGCAGACACGATCGTATTTCCTCAGTGTGTCGTCTCGTAAAAGCCATCAACGTCTTATAGTCAGAAAGCACGACAAAACTGACCGCCTATCTGCCGATAACTTAACACCGTACCATGCCAACACACTGTGATCAGCTCGCAACCCGCTTGCAATAACACAGTGACTAGCTCATACATATTCATGAGGCTGACGAAGCCATTCACTGTGTTCGCTCGTTTTCACGCTGAATAATAGCCATACCACGATATAACTGCCGAGTTAGCTTCTCAAGGTGACGTCATCATAATCATGACAACTCGAATATTTTATTCGTAAACGCATGTAAAATCAAGGAGAGCACTGGCGTGAAATATTAGTATGACTCATTGGCCCACTCCTCGGAGAAGAACCTCGTGTAGATTGCTATCAGCGAATCTCTAGTGTTCTGACACGTGTTTACTGTTATCTGCGAAGTTCAAAAAATGTTAACTTGACAAATATTTAGGTGCAATATCGTAAACTACCGCTGTTACAAGAACAATATCCCCATGAAATGCAAAGATGTGCGACCTTTAGGGGTCACGCAGTAGGTCTATCCACAGTCCCTCCATAGAGGGAGGAAGGGACTGTGGTCTATCCATGGAAGGTACTAACGTTAGTACCTTCCATGGTCTATTACTTATGTGAATACAATGTATGCATGAACACAACTGAATAAACGCATGCATATTTAATTAAATAATTAAATAAACATTAACAATTACATAACAACCCGCAACCTACTAAATGTATAAGTTTATTCATGCCGTAAAAAGAAACTAAAAATACCATTCAGATCGTTGAGGCACCATGAATCATTGTGTTCGTCAATACAATGGTGTCACAGGTCACTCTGAAACGAAGATTCACTTTGTATCACCGTGACAGTGTTGCCATTAGAAACCATCGGGGTGGTAAATTTTGAAGAAAAGAACCTGCACGGAGAATATTTTGAAAATACTGAAAATTTTACATACAACAAATATATTTTTTAAAACACACCGTACTTTACAGAAAAAAAAAAAAAAAAACGTGAAGGAAAAAAATGTTGTTGAAGTTCGTGAAAAATAGTTTGCAGATTAGTTATACCCCCCCCCACATAGTTCCAATCCCTAAGTTGAAATAAACATGACGACGTTTTCATTAACATGATAGCTAGGCTTTCTCAACACAAACCCCTCCTTACTCGTTTTAAACCCACGGTGTTTGCAAGATTGACCTACAAACAAACAACTCGTGCAAACAATGTCGAATACAAGGCAAGGTGATACATACTAGTGCATAACAAACAATATTGCTGCCTTTTCCATGGAATGGTCGTCAGATATTCCCAACTAATTTACGTATTTAGACACATTTTTTCTAAACTTATTATTTGTTTTCAAATGTGTGCGGATATATTTTATATGCTTTAAAGTATGATTACAGCATTATGAACAGACACTTGTAGGGAGTCTCGTCACGACCAATAATGTACATGACCACATTCCCCTGACACCATGACCTTGCCAACTTCAAATTGCGCATGCGCTGTCGGTATCAAACATTATGACGTCACCCTCAAGCGACATTACTTTAATCATTACAGCTCCCTGCGTTAATGGGCACTTGGTCACTTTATATCACAGTCCGTCTATAGAGGGACGTACTAACACGTAGTACGTCCATGATCACAGCAAGAATTCAAGTTAACGTCACTAGAGCGATTGAATATACTTTCATGTGACATGAGCGTCGTCAACTCAGCAACCTGGTTCGCGCATAGAGGGTGGTACAAAAGCGTGCTATTAAAACTAGAATAACTATGAGTTTAGAATAATGACATCTTGTTTGAATTTGAATCTGCAGTTATAAATATTCACAAAAAATACAACATTAATGGACAATACGAATGAGCGTACAAGAATGAATCGGCCACTAATTGTCGTGTTTTAAATTTCAATCGTTGCTATGGTTAAGACATCTCTTAATATCGAAGGAGTCACTAGCGGTAATTTGTGGACGTCGCGCCTAGTCCAAAACTTGCACTCGTGATTTCTATCATCGTCCGCCTGCACGGTGTTGTTCCGTTCGGACATTCCTCCCTCTACAACACCGTGCGGTAATTCTATTCATAACCGTGTATGTCACGTGGTTGCGCGATAGAAAGTTTACCGACCAATA